GAAGGAAGGAAGGAAGGAGCAAGTTAGTCAACTACATTCCCTGCTCTCAGCAAAGAGCCAGAAACCTTCTCAGATAGACAGCCAGGCAGTTCTGCTTTGGACAGAGACGAAGCTCACGCACAACACGGGGAGAAGAGGGGGGTGTTGCTCATTGTCACGCGTGGAGGTTGACGGAAAGGTGTACCTGTTGGATTCCCCCTTGTCCGCTGGAAAAGGCACAGGAGGGATGGGGAGGGTTGCTAATAAGAGGGAAGCATCGGCCGAGTTTCACTAGGCAGGGTGGAATTGTATCTCCTTCTCCAGCAGCCTCGGGGTCAGAGGCTGAGTTAGCTCCATCTGCTTCCCCAGCCTCCATCCATCCCACGAGAGCACGACTGAAGAGAACGGGGAGGGCTCCAAAACTATCCATTTCTTTCCCTTCCTTGTGTAGGTCAGACAACCTCTCCCAGTGCGATACAGACCAGGTCTTTGGGGATTACAAGCGGTCCGTGACTTACAGCCATTTGTCAGAATGCAGCATTGCAGGCTACTTCTGCTGACTGCCGGCTGCCTGCAGTTCGATTCTCACCAGCTCAAGGTGGACTCAGCCTTCCATCCTTCCGAGGTGGGCAAAATGAGGACCCAGATTGTTGGGGGGCAACAGGCTGACTCTGTAAACCGCTTAGAGAGGGCTGTAGAGCACTGTGAAGCGGTATATAAGTCTAAGGGCTATTGCTCTTTGTTTAGTGACCAGTTACAACGGCACTGAAAAAGGTGATTCAGATGACCATTTTTCACACTTATGACCGTTGCAGCATCCCCACAGTCTCGTGGTCCAAAAATTCAGACACTTGGCAACTGGCTCGTATTTTTGGCAGTTGCAGTGTCCCGGGATCATGTGATCCCCTTTTGTGACCTTCTGACAAGAAAAGTCAACGGCGGAGCACAATTCAACTAACATCCGTTTTACTAACTTACCAACTTGCAGCGATCCACTTAACCGCTATGGCAAGAAAAATGGGGCAAAATAGGACAAAACTCCCTTAACAAATGTCTCACTTAATAACAGAACAATTGCAGGAACAACTGTGGCTGTAAGTCGAGGATATTGTACTTGTATAAACATCTATTTAAGTATTTGTTTTCGTAGATTTTCACGGGTACAGGTATGCAGGTCTTGGCGTATTCGGGTCTTTTCCCGTGTAAGATTGAGAGTATCTTGGCGACGTTTCGACGAGGTTACTTCTATTTAAGTAATGTGTACTGTATTACTTCTATTTAAGTAATGTCTACTGTATTACTTCTATTTAAGTAATGTCTACTGTAGATAACCATAAACTATTGAAGTATACTCAGCATGGACATTCTCCTTTTAGGAGAAAGGGCTGGTTGCACGTATGGTATGATCTAACCCTACAGTGAATGTTTGAACTTGCCAGCGTGGATTGCAACCTCCACTTTCCTCAACCTTGGATACTCGGGGTAGAAATAATTCGAGAGGCTTCAGCATTGTTCTGCCTGCTGCACTTACCCCAGCAAGTTGGCTGCCTGCTAACATGAGCTGAGCCTGGGGTAGGTGTGGCTGCTGAGCTTGAGGGGCTGGGGCGGGGGCTGACGCTGGAGCCGGAGGCATTTCTGCAGAGTCTTCAGCTTTGATCTGGAAGGGAATAATAATAATCTTGAGTCGAACGATCCCATTAATTATTAATTAATTAACTATTATTCTTTATCTGAATTGTTGAGCTCCCACCACCAGACTGCGAATCTAACTGCAGACTACCCATACAGAGTAATAGTTCGTAGGCCACTTTGCGTGCAATTGTAAAATATCTGGAGCACCACTTGAACACCCTCGGCATTGACGCAATTCACCGTCGGTCAATTGCAAAAGGCAGCTGACCTCCTGCCGCGATGACTTTAAAACACCATCAACCATCCACATCTGCCTATCCCATGTCCTTGGGAAGGACTTGGTAGGTAGATAAAAATGCCAAATCCAGTCTAAACATCTGGCTGACCGCGGGACCAACCATAATATAGACAGTCCTCAGCTTACAACAGTTACAATGGCACTGGAAAAAGTGACACGACCGTTTTCACACTTACGACCGTTGCAGCCTCCGCCACGGTCATGGGATTAAAATTCAGATGCCTGGCAACTGACTCCTATTTATGACGGTCACCGTGTCCCGAGGTCACGTCCTCACATTTTAGGACCTTGTGACAAGCACAGTCAATGGGGAAGCCAGATTCACTTAACAACTGTGTTGCTAACTTAACAACTGCAGTGATTCACTTAAGAACTATGGCAAGAAAGGTCAAAAAATGGGGTAAAAATTGCTTCACAAATGTTGCACTTAGAAACATAAATTTGAGGTTCAGCTGTGGTTGTAAAGCCAAGGACTACCTATAAAGGCAATTTTGCTTTCCAACTCCACATAAACATACATCTTTCTGACCCTACTGTTTTCTTCCTGGGCCCAAACTCCGTTATTAGAAGGACAGATGGCTCTTTTTTTGTATTTTGTTTTAAAAAAACCTAATCTGAAGTGAATAGTTATGTCTCAGTCTAGAACCCAGGCTCAAGAAAGGAAATGGGGTAGCTGTCAGAAGGATCTTGCACTGGATCAGGGATAGGCAGCCTTGGCTCTTTTATGACTCGTGGACTTCAACTCCCAGAATTCCTGAGCCAGCCATGCTGAGGGGAAAGAGAGGTTTCCATGTTGAGCCATGCTGGCTCAGGAATTCTGGGAGTTGAAGTCCACCAGAGGACTTAGCGTGACATGACGTTACCCGGTCGGATCATGAGACATCTGCAAACAAACCACCAAGCTCAGAGAGCACCAAGGACCCCACAGTCCTCCTCCCCTTTTCCTCCACCACTCTGCAAACCCCACTCCATCATCATCATCATCATCATCATCATCATCATCATTATTATTATTATTATTATTATTATTTCAGACATGTGTGCTGAAGGTATATCAGAGTCTAGTATAGGGGTAGGCAACCGTGGCCCCTTCATGACTCGTGGACTTCAACTCCCAGAATTCCTGAGCCTGCATGGCTCAGCTTGGAAACCTCTCCCTTTCTCCTCAGCATGGCTGGCTCAGGAATTCTGGGAGTTGAAGTCCACGAGTCATAAAAGAGCCAAGGTTGCCTACCCCGATCTAGGTCTGTCTGTCTGTCTGTCTGTCTGTCTGTCTGTCTGTCTGTCTGTCTGTCTGTCTGTCTGTCTGTCTGTCTGTCTGTCTGTCTATCTATCATCTAGGTCAGGGATAGGCAACCTTGGCTCTTTTATGACTCGTGGACTTCAACTCCCAGAATTCCTGAGCCAGCATGGCTCAGCTTGGAAACCTCTTCCTTTCCCATCAGCGTGGCTGGCTCAGGAATTCTGGGAGTTGAAGTCCACGAGTCATAAAAGAGCCAAGGTTGCCTACCTCTGCACTGGATGGATTCAGCCCTCTGTCCCAGCAGGGCGAAAAAAGAGGGCGATTCAGCGGAGACTCTGAATTTCAGCCCAAATCCTGTGCCCTTCAACTTGAGGAATTCCAAGCAAGGGGATCCAAACCCTCCAACTTAAATCTCTGCAACCCTGCGGAAATTTAGTAGGGGGTTCTTTGTAGGGAGGAGAAACAACGCAGTACACTACATTCACATCCCGCCCACTGACCAGTGCAAGATGATTTATCGTTACTTGGCTTCCTGTTTTGCTGCCAGGGTTGGGGCGCTGGGAATTCCCCCCCTTAAACCAAACCTTGATTCACAGGTTCCTATCAAGCTGATAACAAAAGCGCAGCGCGCTTCCCATTGGGGTCTTTTCTTTGTAAGCGTGATTTTTGACCTACAATGTCCAGCTCTGGCCCTTGTTGGGAGGGGGAGTTTCAGGATTTCCAGGGGAGCAGCCTGAAGGGCCAGACCAGAATTATTGACAATATTGCAGAAAATGCAACTTTTAAAATTACGTTAAGAGCTGAGCTGTTGAAGTTACCTAATTCTATGTCACAAAAAAAGAGAGAAAAAAAAAGGGAACAGATTGTGGTTTGGACAATATGCAAATTTTTTCTGTGCAATCAGTTAATCAAAATGCAAGTGATTAATCCAGTTAAACACACACACACAAACACACACACACACAGAGAGAGAGAAAGAGAGATTATAGTTTTGTCATAGCATCATTCAAGCAAGCTTCAAAGGTTTTTGTCTCATTTCAAAGCTTAACAGACCCTAGACAGGCAATTTAAAAACTGGGGTGCTGAATTATGGGCTACGACCTCCCTTTTCATCATACCTCCAAGACTTTAAAAGATTATGTATATAATAATTGACAAATATGATGTTTGCTCATAAAGATTTTCTTTCATAAACATTTAGTGCACAGTTACAGTTTTAAAGCATTAGCCTAGACCGGGGTAAGCAACCTTGGCTCTTTTATGACTCGTGGACTTCAACTCCCAGAATTCCTGAGCCAGCCATGCTGAGGAGAAAGGGAGAGGTTTCCAGGCTGAGCCATGCTGGCTCAGGAATTCTGGGAGTTGAAGTCCACGAGTCATAAAAGAGCCAAGGTTGCCTACCCCTGGCCTAGACCAGTGCTTCTCAACCATGGCAACTTGAAGATGGGTGCACCCCAACTCCCAGAATTCCCCAGAACAAAAGGTGACCACTCCTATTATCTCGTCCCCAAGAATCCACCATTTTCCTTGGTCCTGGACTGAAGTTAAAGCCCACCTCAACACAGCTTCTGACCCCAAGTCAGTCCAAGCCAGTCTGAATGCCAGATGCCTTTAGAGCAATGTTTCTCAGCCTTGGCCACCTTAAGTGATGTGGACTTCAACTCCCAGAATTCCCCAGCCATAAATGCTGGTGAGGAATTCTGGGAGTTGGAGTCCACCCGTGTGAAAGTACTCAAGGTTGAGAAGCATTGGGAATTCTGAGAAGAAATGACATCACCTAGTGCAGGGGTAGGCAACCTGGGCTCTTTTATGACTCGTGGACTTCAACTCCCAGAATTCCTGAGCCAGCATGGCTCAGCTTGGAAACCTCTCCCTTTTCCCTCAGCACAGCTGGCTCAGGAATTCTGGGAGTTGAAGTCCACGAGTCATAAAAGAGCCAAGGTTGCCTATCCCTGACCTAGTGGATTTGCAGGTAGGCAGAGAAAAGGTGGGACTTACCTTGGTGCCCGTGATGGTTGGGGATGGGGAGAACGGGGAAGATTTGCTCTGCTGAGTCTAGAAGGAAGAACACGATGCAACATCAGCACGGACAATCTGTGGCCCACCTCAAGATAGAAATACTTCCTTAATCCCACGGCTTCTGCCCAAAGATTCTCACCTGATGGTTTGTGTCAGGTCCATTTCTTTCTGTATCTAGAAGCAAAAAAGTTAAATTCATCACACGGGGTCCATACTAAAATAGGGACCCTCAAGAATCCCCAGCCTGATCTGAACAATCCACCCGTCTCCCAATAAGAGATCCTCAGAAGCTGATCCATTTGTTTTTTTTCTCACATCTCTTTATAGATCGTGCGCCTCCCTCTGCTGCTTACAGTGATTGGGAGAATTCCATTTTTGGTGAAGATGTGTCTACAATATTGCAGTGTTATATCAATATGTGAAATTGGGACTGCCCAAGGGAGCAGAACTGCCTTATTTACTTCAATCAGAATAGAGCTGGAAGGGATCTTGGAGGTCTTCTAGTCCAACTCCCTGCTCAGGCAGGAAACCCTATACCATTTCAGACAAGTGGCCGTCCAGTCTCTTCTTAAAAACCTCCAGTGATGGAGCATTCACAAAGTCAGAAGGCAAGCTGTTCCACTGGTTAATTGTCCTCATTTTTAGGAAGTTTCTCCTTAATTGCAGGTTGCTTCTCTCCTTGATTAGTTTCCATCCATCGTTTCTTGTCCTGCCTTCAGGTGCTTTGGAAAATAGTTTGACCCCCCTCTTCTTTGTGGCAGCCCCTCATTTTATTATTTTTATTTTATTTTATTTATTTGGTGATGGTGGCCCAGAGGTAGATTTTTCATCACAGCTTCAATGGCTGAAGGGGCACCCAAACCAATGAATAACAATTAGCTGGTTGGCTTGTTTTTAACCATTTAAGTATTGGTGGCTTTATAGGCATGTGCTCTCCATGCTCCCCTGTCAAGAATAGCTTCTTTCAATTGTTGGAGGTTCAACTTCGGACCAGTTTTGATGTTATCAAGCCAGCGTGTTCTTTGCTTGCCCTTTCTTCGGAATAACAATATTTTATACTAAACATTGCCTGTTGCTTCTACTTGGTCCATTCTCCTTTGCTTAGTTCCTTATCCTTCCCAGAACAGTAACTTTTAATAGTTTTTTTCCCCCCACTGCTTTGGTTTTCAGTGCACCGAAGAGTCCTTCTCCCATTCTTCATCGTTTTCTCTTGTTTCCCTTCGCCCACTGCGTCGGATACGAATCCTGATTCATGGCCAAACCTGGCTAATGCAATATAGTAGCACTGAGTTGTCTCAGGAGTATATTAACACTATTTATTAGGCCTGATGGCTCCTTTATATCTTGAAGATGACTGGGGAAAAATTATGTATATATATATAAAAAAGCCAATTTCTTGGTTCAAGACTGATTTTTCTATTAAGGCTCTCCCACGGAAGAAGGGAGGGTGATCCTGCAGGAATCTTCTTTATTTATTCGTTCACTTGCATGCTGTATTTTTAATACCTTCTTAAATTTAAAAGGAGAAAGGAAATGAATGAGCTTCAAAGAGGCCACCGCCGCAGCGAATGCAGGGAGAGGTCCGTTCTCATTTCAACCAGACTCTGCAAGATACATTCTTAGCCTTCCCATCAAACCAACTTACCTGTGTGGTCTTCTTGCAGCTCCAGACGCATCTTTTCCAGTTCCAAGGGCTTAGACATTCTTACTTCTGTGAGAAAAAATGGGACAAAAAATGGAAAGGACAACGCAGATGAGTGTTGAACCAGACCAGCGGTAGGCAACCTGGGCTCTTTTATGACTTGTGGACTTCAACTCCCAGAATTCCTGAGCCAGCATGGGGGAACTATGGCCCTTTCATGACTTGGGGACTTCAACTCCCAGAATTCCTGAGACAACATGGGGGAACTATAGCCTCTTCATGACTTGTGGACTTCAATTCCCAGAATTCCTGAGCCAGCATGGGGGAACTATGGCCCCCTCATGACTCGTGGACTTCAACTCCCAGAATTCCTGAGCCAGCATGGCTCAGCATGGCAACCTCTCCCTTTCCCCTCAGCGTGGCTGGCTCAGGAATTCTGGGAATTGAAGTCCATGAGTCATAAAAGAGCCAGGGTTGGCTACCCCTGCCCTATACCGTTCCAGACAAGTGGCTGTCCAGTCTCTTCTTAAAAGCCTCCAGTGATGGAGCACCCACAACTTTTGGAGGCAAGTTGTCCCACTGAGGAGAAATTTCCTGACAGAACAATTAAGCAGTGGGACAACTTGCCTCCAAAAGAAAGAAAGAAAGAAAGATTAACAAATTCTTCACAAAGTTACAGGTACCCTAAGTGATCTGCAATAATTTAGATAATTGCTGCATGACAGCAAAAATCTGTGGTGGGCTTCCATATTTCTGTTGAGCCCTTGCAAAATATACCTTCATTTCAGTTTGTTCCTTTTTCCTATTTATTCATCCATGCATTCATTTGCCCAAATGTTTTAGAACATTTAATCTTTTAAATATCTGTTGCAACGGGCTCAGCAAAAACATTTGGATTTAGGTGAGGGTCTCTAATGGGGATAAGAGAAGGGCTCTCCTTTGTTCCAAATAGGAATACACGGTGTAGCCTAGATCTCTCAGGGATTTTTTTCCAGCTGCTTTGCTGAATTACAGTTTTCATTAAAAGAAAACCAAGATTAAACCATTTTATTTCTCGGAGGAGATTTAGAAAAAAAAATATGCAGGCAATAATCTTCCTACTTTTTTTTTTTTAATATAGCTACCCATCTCACACCGGTGACTCTAGGCAGCTTACAAAGATTAAAACACTGGAGAACTCACGAACAATAGTTTGGGAAGTTTCAAAGTTATGGGATGTTAGAATAATTTGACAATCTATGAGGCATTTATTTTCAGATTTTATACGGTTTGGATTCTGCGGCGTCACATTAAAATGCACAGATGGGAGAACCTGACAATGGAAGGCTTTTTATTTCATTTCTTTCTTTTTAAAAGCATCAGTGTTGGCTTCTTTCCATGTCTCAGTTTTCCATTTGTTGGTTTGGTGCGAACGAAGGAGAAATTTCCTAATGGTGAGAGCAATAGACCAATGGACTAGCTCAGGGATAGGCAACCTTGGCTCTTTTATGACTGGTGGACTTCAACTCCCAGAATTCCTGAGCCAGCATGGCTCAGCATGGAAACCTCTCCCTTTCCCCTCAGCATGGCTGGCTCAGGAATTGGGAGGAGAGTACCCCAAACATGGGGGCCAGCACTGGAAGGCTTGTTGTCTGGTTCACACCCCACAGATTTTGTAAAGAAGGGGAAGCCCTCAAACAGGCCCTCTCCATATATCAGGACTAAGTGGGCACCTTCTATTCTAGAAAGCACTGCCTGCTATCTTCCTAGGACAACTTCTGTTTTCAGGAACCTGTGGTTGTGCGATAAGGGTCACAACCACTGACTTTAACAGAGGATTAAGACAGCCCCGGAGAAGGCAAGTTATGTCACTGCCTTTGTCAAATGGCACTAAAATTATTGATGGAGAGGAAACACAAGGATGAGGCTATTGCGTCAAGTCTTACTTTTTTTTACTTACTTAAGGTTTTACTTTTACTTTTACTTAAGTCTTACTCAAGGTTTTTCCTTGAGATATCTGGTTACTTAATCCAGAGAACTTTGGCCCCGATATATCTTTGCTCTTTCTAGAGCAGGGGTCTCCAAACTCGGCAACTGTAAGACTTGCGGACTTCAACTCTCAGAAGCTGGCTGAGGAATTCTGAGAGTTGAAGTCCACAAGTCTTACAGTCGCCAAGCTTGGAGATCCTTGTTCTAAAACATCTTCTCCCATTATACCCTATGTTGAGAAAACTAACCTGACAGGTTGCTTCCATGGTTGAGAACCAGGTTTATTCCCCTTCTCAGGCAGGGAACTTGTACCAAATAAGCCTCTTTTTACACGAAGTCTGCTCATCTCAGTGGGTAGAGATAAAAGCCCCTATCGTGGACTTTAGTGATTCCCCTTTCAAGGAATTATGCTAGCCGGTTGTTGATATTATTCCTACTGCCGGTCCTTTCACCAGATAAAGTAAGACGATGGTCTCTGGCAGCAGATGCCGGAGGTGGCCAACTCTGCTTATCCAGCAGCTTGGATTTCTTGGCCGTTCTTCTCTTTTAGATATTAATACACTGCGTGCGAAATAACCCGCTGTAGCCTAATCTCAGCTATGCATTGTAATAGAGTAGAACCAGGATTGGAAAAGGACACCATTCTACCAGTAGAATCCACCAAGATCCATTAGAGGCAAAAGAATCTACAGGTTAGTATTGTGACATCATCATCAGCCAAGATAATTCACTCTTTCCATTTCCATAATTCACTCTTTCCATTCCATAACCACTTTTTTAAACCTAGCACTATGGAGAAGGGAGGGAGGGGAGGGAAGGAGCGAGGGAAGGGAAGGAGCGAGGGAGGAAGGAAGGAGGAAGCGAGGGAAGGAAGGATAGTGAGGGAGGGAGGAAGGGAGGGAAGAAGGATAGTTAGGGAGGAACGGAGGAAGGGAAGGAGAGAGGGAGTGAGGAAGGACGAAGGAAAGGAAGGAGGGAGGGAAGTGAGGAAGGGAGGGAGGGAGGAGGAAGCGAGGGAAGGAAGGATAGTGAGGGAAGAAGGTGAGGGAGGGAAGAAGGATAGTGAGGGAGGAAGGGAAGGAGAGAGGGAGTGAGGAAGGAAGGGTAAGGAGGGAGGAAGGGAAGGAGCGAGGGAGGAAGGAAGGAGGAAGCGAGGGAAGGAAGGATAGTGAGGGACGAAGGGAAGGAGGGAGGGAGGTAAGAAGGATAGTGAGGGAGGAACGGAGGAAGGGAAGGAGAGGGAGTGAGGAAGGAAGAAGGGAAGAAGGGAGGGAGGGAGGAAGGAAGGAAAGAAGGAAGAAAGGAAGGAAAGAAGGAAGGAAGGAAGGAAGGAAGGAAGGAAGGAAGGAAGGAAGGAAGGAAGGAAGGAAGGAAGGATCACTTGTTCAGTGTGATAAATGCTTCTCTGTGTTTTCCCCTTCATTCAACGCCAGTCAGAATCCCACTTGGTCCATAAGCAAACACTGACAGCTATCACTTTTTTAAAAAATTGGACATCAGAGCAGGAGCTCAACCAGTGTCACCGCTGATTTTACCTTCATATAATGAGAAGGATAAGTCCAACCGATTTAGCCAAACATGCACCTATTAAAAACACAGCAGGAAAGAAAGAACCAATCCCTTTCAGCCTCTCCCATTACATTTCTCCCATCTACTTTGTACCAAAAAGCCATCTTTAGGAGACCATGCCATTCCTACTCTCCAACCTGCTCCCCCCGCCTTCTACCGGTACTAGTTTTCAGGTTGTACCATGCCAAAAAAAAAAAAAAAAAAAGCAAAATATTTCCATAACTTGCAGCTAAAGGTTGAGCTTTGTGACGAAAAGGTTGTTAGATAAAGCTATTCTTATCCGGAGCCCACTCTGCCCTGAGTACAGGTAGTCCTCGCCTTACAACAGTTCTTTTAGTGACTGCTCAAATTACAGCGGCGCCGGAAAAAGTCATTTATGACCATTTTTCACGCTTACGGTTGTCACAGCGTCCCCGTGGTCACGTGATCGAAATTCAGGGGCTTGGCAACCGACTCATACTTATGACAGTCACAGTGTCCCAGGGTCATGTGATCCTCTTTTGTAACTTTCTGACAAAGCTACAATCACTTAACAACCTCCTTACTAACTTAACAGCTGCACTGATTCACTTAACAACTGTGGCCAGAAAGGTCGTAAAACGGGGCAAAGCTCACTGAACAACGGTCTTGCTTAACAGTGGACATTTTGGGCACTCTCGTGGCCGTTAAGTTGAGGACTACCTGTATTCTAAGATATTCAGATTTGTTCCTTTTCCAGTCTGGTTTTCCATTTCACTTCTCTTCGGAAAGCTAGCAGCTGATGTCTGGGACCTTTCTGCTCTTCTCCCTATCAGAATCCTACCTTGATTCCCCAGGTCGCCCCATTTTTTAATGTAATTTCGGCCAATCTGGCACCGTAGTTCCCAAAGCTTTTTTGATATCTATCTTTTTTTGTGCAAAGTTGATGGCCACTCTGACGAAATTAGAGTTGGCTGTTCGGAGAAATGAATCCCCCTAGTCCAGACATGTCAAACACAAGGCCCGGGGGGCCGGATGCGGCCCGCGAAGTGGTTTCATGTGGCCCGCGAAGCCATCCTGGAAACAGTGAGGGAACGGCCCCCGCTGCCTTGACCCTGGCCCAGGCCGGCCGGGAGCCAATGTACAATTTTGTGGTGGCCATCTATGCTGAACTGTATTCAGTCTTAGCTCCACAAGGCCGTCTAGAAACAGCGAGGAACCAGCCCCTGCCATGTCGGCCCTGCCCCCTGGGTGCATGCTGGGGAGGCGTCACCCTTTGTGAGGAATGAAGAAATGGACCATGCCTTGGCGCTTGCCCCGGTCCCACCCCCTTCTGCCAGAGACCCTCAAATCTGCCCCACTCCTGCCCAGGCCCCCACAGGCACCCTTGATGCGAACGATGTAGAGCTGGCCACGCCCACCCAGTAGGCCACACCTACTCCATCCACGCCCACCCAGTAGGCCGCACCCACCCTGGCCACCCACCCACCTGCACCCGCAATGCTGATGCGGCCCTCAATGAAATTGAGTTTGACACCCCTGCCCTAGTAAATGAACTTCAGCAACACAAGGAATTATGTTTGCTATCTTTTTAACTGACACCAGTAGAGAGGTAGCAAACAGAGAGTATTTTTCCTGCTATACTGAAGGTAAAAGTTCATACCCCCGTTTTTTTCTCTCAAGCCCACACAAAAGACACAGTGTACGTAACGCTGGGCAAATGGCATTCTCATATATCCACCACAATCTGCACAGCTGGCATTTATTGCTGCAAGCGTTTGGTAATACGGGAGCGATCATAGGTACGATAACAGCTGGCGGAAAAAAAAAACCACCCCAGAAATGTCAATCTATAATCTGTGATCAAAGATAATAGAGAGGCTTTATGCACACAAGAATCAAATTGGATTTTGAGACTGAATAAAAGCTGAACGGGAGGTTTTTTATGAGAGAGATGAAAATACCGCTTAGGTGTGAATATTGTTTAATGCGCAGTCAAAATAGAATGGAGCCTGTTTTCAAGTTAAATTCCTCTTTTCATCGGCAGTGCCCTCGACTATTAATTTTTTCAGAGCTGAAAGAAATCCAAGCGTGACTCTCAGGATCGTTTGGGACAAAAGCGCCCAGCAGTGGATTTTCTTAAGCAAATTTTCATCTGGAACCGTGTGTTTGTTCATTTGTCTCTAACAAGATTTCTGAAACATGCCGCTATTCAACAGGCGGAAGCTTTTCTTGACACGCAGAAAACTAATGGAGAACTAATTCTTGATTCTTGATTGGAGAACACCGATAGCAGTGTCCCAATATCTCAGGGGCTGCCCCAAAGAAGAGGGGGTCAACCTGTTCTCCAAAGAACCTGAAGGCAGGACAAGAAGCAATAGGTGGAAACTAAGCAAGGAGAGAAGCAACCTAGAACTAAGGAGGAATTTCCTGACAGTGAGAACAATTAATTAATGGAACAACCTGCCTCTAGAAGTGCTCCAACAATGGAGGTTTTTTAAAGAAGAGATTGGACAAAGATTTGCCTGAAATGGTATAGGGCAGTGATGGCGAACCTTTTAGAGACCGAGTGCCCAAACTGTAACCCAAAACCCACTTATGTATCGTCGGGTGCCGGGTGGGCGTGGCCCATTGGGTGGGTGTGGCCCATTGGGTGGGCGTGGCTGCGATGGTAACGGCAGACTGGGTGGGACTAAAAAGTTCAATCAATTCCAACTTGGCGAGATTTTTTTTTCCTGCGAGTTGAAATTAATTGATTGAACCTTTTTTTTTTGCACACGGCGGCGGAGGCCTAAAGTGAAAAGGTTTTATAAAACCCAGCTGAAGGCCTAGGACTGGGGTGATGGCACGCATGCCACAGAGAGGGCTCTGTGTGCCACCTGTGGCACGCGTGCCACAGGTTCGCCACCACGGGTATAGGGTCTCCTGCTTGAGTAGAGGGGTGGGCTAGAAGACCTCCAAGGTCCCTTCCAACTCTGTTATTCTTTTATTCTGCTACAGCTGCTACCTTCTCTTTGAGCAGGACCTAACAGTGCAGATTCTTTATTCGTGTCAAAAGCACCTTCAAACGATGTTATTCTGTTAAGTATAGCTCAGTATTAGAATGCTGCATTTAGGATGCGTCTGAATCTTTTGTTCATTTTTCACTAGAGTCTGCAATACAGCACTATTAAAAGTCAATGTACTAAATTTAAAAAAACAGAAATGCAGCAAAAGTTAACGCGGGCTGTATGTTTTCCCCTTGCATTCTGGAATTCCCATAGTAGTTCAACCTCGGTCTTTCTGGATTAAAAAAAAA